CCCCAAAACCCCAAAACCCCAAAACCCCAAAACCCCAAAACCCCAAAACCCCATTTAACACCTGCATAGTTGAATTGGAATGAGAGATTACAAGTCAAGGTCTTTGTAGTCGTCTAACCGGACAAACTGGTTAAAGTCTTCAGGAAAGTTGTTCATCGACTCCCTAGAGTCGTAATCCTTTATCTGAGGTGAATCTCCAGGATCTATAGGTGCCTCATTGTAACTTGAAAGAATCTCTTTGAATTTGTGGTAGGAATTTGTTGGAGTCTAGAAAAATTAAATGAATATTATACATCATCCATTTCTCTGTGTATGTTTTCAAGCAAATTATCTTCTTGATTGCTATTTATATTCGCATGTTGTTCAGTATTCCGATCCGTAACAATTTCATTAGTTCCTCTCTCAGTTTCTAGATTGTTAGTGAAAATATTTACCTGGGACTTTGATGTAAAATTCTTCATTGCTCAACATTGAGCTCATCTCTTTACTACTAAAGCCAGCTGAACCCTCAACTATTTGCTTAGTTGGGTTCTTAAGAGTATCTCTTATTAGCTCATCATAGCCAGTTGGTTGCTTAATCTCCTCTCTTGGCTCTTTCTTTAGACCCCTGCTGAGAAGTTTTAAGTTAAAATTTTGAAGATTTTCTTCAGTATGTCTTCCAGAGAACTCATTCAACTCTTCTTTTCCTTGAAGAATGTTTTCATCTTCTGTCGGAGTCGAAGAGCTAGATGAGCTACTCTGTTCACCTGGTGTTTCTGGTATTTCTATCTCTAATTTGGAAGAAAATTTGGGAGGCTCATTCTCGATATTTTCCAAATTCTGAAGATTATTTTGTCTATAAAGCCTTTTGCTATTAGCTGTTAATCAAGAACTAACCTGAGGTCAGATATTGATTTGTGCTTTCTCTTCTTTTTAAATAATTTTCTGTTTATCTTTCTCTCCCTAGATCTTTCTTTAACCTCTTTAGCATATGGTGGGAGTATCTTGTTTGTACTCAAGCTTTTCATAAGTTTCTTAATTTCTTTCTGAGGGGGCCTTCCATCTTGAAGTATAGAATCCTTTACAAATTTTTCAAATTGAGCTATCAATTGTCTTTCGATATGCTTTCTAATCGAAGTTTCATTGTAAATATGAACATTTTTGAATAATTCTCTAGAAAAGTTATCTCAATAACAGTGTTACTTTGCAATGCTCCCAGGCTGGCCATCAGTCCTCCACTTAGAGGCTTCATTATTAATAAATCTGCTCATGGGATCAACTTGTGGTCGGAAGGAGCATGAATTATGCTCTTCTTCCTTTTTCTCTTCTCTTTCCTTAGCCATTCGTTTTTCTTTCTGACCTTTCCATTGCTTGGATCTTTCATAGAAAGAATCACCAGAGTTGAGGCTGATGTTTCTGTAATCCCTAAGTTTAGGTCTGAATGTGCATTCTTTTAACTCATTATATTCCTTTTCAAGAAGTGACTTGAGATGGTTCTCATAGAGAACTTCTATCTTAGACTGTGACTCACTGTGGAGCCTATTCCATACCCCATTGAGGCTAGTTCTAGAATTAAAAATTTAGATACCGAGATTTAGAAGTTTGACGAGAATGAGATCCTGGCCTTGCCTTCTTGCGTGGCATGGCCTTCTTTGCTGATCCCTTTGTAGTGTTGAAGATACTTCCAGGCCCACTATCGTACAGATCCTGATAATCAAGCTTGGACAGGTAATTAAGCATCTCTGCTCTTCCCAGATTTTCTCCGTGAATGCCTTTTAAGTTCTTCTTTGATTTACTCTAAATCTGTTGTAAATTTTGAGATAATGGGTTCAAGAACATAAATTTTTGGCATCGCAGTTTAAATGTAGTCTTGACAATGATTTGTTTCAAAAAGTATGAGCATTAGATATATTGGAGGTTTGAAAATTTAGATGAGAGTTGGACTTTTCACCAAGAATTCATCAAAATCACTTTATGCATGCGAAGAATCATATATATTGAGGCTTAGAAGGTGATATTGGTCGATCCTTGAAACTTACACTGATGAGTCTGTGAAAAAGCCTTGTCTTATAAGAGCTATTTCTGCTTTTTGAAAGTTTGCTCTATGATGAAAGTTAGAGTCTTAGATAATTGAGTGAAATCATAGTTTCTTTTATCCAGACGGGATTAACAGAGTTACATTTATCGACTTAATAGAGTGTACTTATCAATATAATAACAAAAAATGTATACCTTAGTATTTCTTATATCTCTAGTAGCTGAAGAAGTATTCCTGGCATCTTGAGTACTAAACCCTCTTTTATGCCTAACACTTCTTGAACGATCTATCTTATTTGCTTTTATTAAGATGAAGTAACTCTTTGGCTGGACTTCCTGAGGTTTCTTGAGGAAGCCGAGGTGGCTTTGTACGAGAAATTGAACTCTTGGTATGAGCTTGGTGGGGTAAAGGGTTCGAAGACAATGCATCATTGTTCTAAGGATTAGGGTAAAGAAAGTACCAAAAATTTTGCTAAATTTTTCTTTTTCTTTGCTTTCTTTTTAGGTTTTGGATTTTTGATTATTGAAATCTCTGTTTTCAGCTCATCTCTGAAATTAAAAGATCTTCCAAATCCACCTTGATGCTGGGATCTATCTACAGAGCCTGGGTTCTCTTTTTCAAGTTTCTCTATTATCTTCTGTTTTGAAAACTTTGGTCCATTTTTAGCAGGAGCAGCTGGAATGTCAGCATTAAGCTTTGATTTCTTCTTATTTGGATTATAATACAAGATGTTGACTTTGCCTAAACGATAATTTGAACCAATATTAATTTTCAAATTACTTCTCGAGTTAAACTGGCTCTGATCTAGATTAGCAGAACCTCTCGAAAGAGATCGCATCGAGTAACTATTTATCTTCCCAACTTTCTCATGATTTCCTATAAAAATGTGATTTAAATTATGAAAATATGGTTAAAACCCTCTCTACTCCAAGCCAAGCCCAAATTTCCCAAACTTCCCCTCCTCTCCCTCAACCTACTCCGATTCTGATAATTCATCATCTTCGAAGCACCTACAATCCTCTCAAATGAATGTAATGAACTGAACGACATTATGAAACAAACTTCTTAAAGTCAATAAATTATAAATCAATTTTAATTAAAATTTTAGGGGTTTTGGGGTTTTGGGGTTTTGGGGTTTTGGGGTTTTGGGG